CAGTTGCGTATACCAGATGTAAGAAGGATGCTTGTCACATGCATGGCAGGTAGTCTGATAGCCCTGGCATTCTTCGGGCCGCAGTATCTGGCATACACGGAATTTTGCGACCGAGGCAGCGGCACTGGAACTAGACCGTGGTGTGACAAGACCTTCCCGAGCATTTACTCGTGGGTACAAAGCCATTACTGGTCAGTTACCCCAATACGATGACTTACTAGTCTGACCTCTTCCAGGAACGTAGGACTCTTCCGTTACTGGACCATCTCAAATCTGCCTCTGTTCATACTAGCGGCACCAGTTTCGTGGCTACTCCTCACATCAAGTGTCACCATTCTCCGCAGCGGTGTCCCACGCCCGTTGCGTGGGCGTCCTGTACCCCAGACTGGTGAAACAGCCAAATCCAGGAACGGAACCTCCGCGATATGCAAGCTACCGGAATTGGCACTCCCGCAATTACTACTGGCTGCAACAGCCGTTACCAGTTTTCACGTCCAGATTGTGAACCGAATTGCTTCCGGCTATCCGATGTGGTATCTAGTCGTCGCTACGTGGTTGGCTGATTCACAAAGTACTCGCCCGGCAGCAAACCGTTCACGAACAGCCAGGTGGTTTATCAGAGGTAGCATCATGTATTGCTTGATACAGGGAATGCTTTTTGCTAACTTCCTCCCACCGGCCTAAATCTCAGGCCGCGCAAATACTGTCGCACACACCAAGTGGTGGCGTGAGCTCTACAACATAGCTCCTCGATTCGGACGCCCAGACAGTCTGTACGACTTAGCTTATTACTAGTAAAACGCCATGATCAGACTCCTGAACTCCAATACGAATATTTCGCAATTACCACAACACTCGGTACATCTAGAAGGTTACTTAATTCTCCGGGCGAGCTGGTGCTAAACGTAGGAATAGCTCAGGAGGACACACATTACCGAGCTAAAACCTATGTCTTACATGCGAATTTTGGCACTGCGGCAGAAGCTGAACGATCAGTTACGAGGCCGTCATGATGCCAAGTACCTCACAGTCTCACTACTAGTGTTGCTGCTCTAATGTCCCAGCCATCGCAAGTGTCAAGACATGCACCCTACAGTGGAACTTGGAGATAATAGATGAACGTCGCATAGAGCGGCTGACCTGTCTTTCTAGCCTATCATGGAAAGCTGGTCTGACGACTTTGTACCTGCATGCGCTACTGACGCCAGCCTACCGATGGAAGCCTAGATCATCGTATAAAAGTTGGCGATGCGACAATATGGCGAGATGCTGTGCCAGCATACTACTACAGTTCCAGTCCAGTTGTTTACAAAAACGTCATGATATCGAACCCCTCTGCAAGATGCGACACATTGGGCGAAGCAGAACATTGCATCATCCACTGCTTCCCTACACATGACCGACAGCCTTGCAATGTCGCTGTTTTCGCGACGGAAAATGACTTCTTGAACACCAACGCGCCATTTCAGGACACTGATCAATGCCCTAGTTTCTGAGTCAGAAGCCTTCTGCTTGAGAATGATGACCACCGTCAAGTCTCACAGCGACGCCACCTACACCAACCAGAATGTTGGAGCGAAGATGAGGGCCTCTCGGAAAGACAGAAGGAAGGCTTGGCCACGCCAGCTTTGTCACTAGTCTTTGGCATAGTGAGGGCGACTTATAAAGGTTGCTTCAAGCTGCTTTGGTTGGTAGCCGTGCTCATCAGCCTAGTCCGACCTACACTCGTTACTAGAAAACGATGAAGCTTTCTACCTTCTCTACCTTCCTCAGCCTGTCCGTGGCTTTGGCAGCCGTGCTCGACACTAGACAGCAATGCAATGAGGATGACTGCTTCCGCGCAGTTTTCGGCAGCGGCGGATTCGGTCAGATAATCAGGGCGGGAGAAGATTGCGATGACTTCCTTACTACAAGTGTCATATGGTACCCAATGTTTGTATTCCAATCAAGATGTCTGTCGAACACACTAACAGTCTACTCCAGCACCACTATCACGTCCTTTACTCTTACGACATCTACTCTGACAACACCATGCCCTTCGGAGGTATTGCCCGTTCCGACAGATGAGCCCATTACTTCCGACGAAGAAAAACTATGGATTCGACAAGCACTGCCAACCGGAACTAACTGGTCCACGACCACCGTCTTTGGACCAGTGCCTACATACGCCACCCAAGCCTGTGTCTCGCAAGAATACAGATCTGTTTGCGGATGTGCGAGCATCACCGAAGATACTATCACCTATCTTAGCACCGTAAGTTTTATGTCAGTGTGCGATGGGTAACAGCTAATCATGTTCTAGACTGTGACAGATATTGAGACTACAACGTATACCAGCGTTACAATTACCGGAACATCTTGCCCAATCATCACACCATCGTCTTCGATGAGCTCTTCAACTTCAAGCATGGTTACCTCGTCTTCGGTGTCCAGTAGTGTTTCTAGCAGCACTAGCTCTACCATCTCGTCATCCTCGAGCACGGATAGTTCTTCGAGCTCGGCTACGTCGTCGTCCAGCACAGGAAGCTCTTCAGTATCCTCGACTGAATCCAGCAGCTCGTCTAGCACGCCAACTTTAACCAGTTCTCCTACCTCTTCATCCACAACCTCGAGTAGTACTTCAAGCACGGGAAGCTCTTCAGTATCCTCGACCGACAGTAGTAGCTCGTCTAGCTCGTCTAGCTCGTCTACTACGCCAACTTCATCCAGTTCCTCTAGCTCTTCAGCATCGTCGATTGAGCCTAGCAGCTCGTCAAGTACACCGACTGTATCCAGTTCCTCCAGCTCTTCATCTGCAACATCTAGTAGTTCGTCTACTAGCTCAAGCAGCTTATCTAGCAGCTTGTCCAGTAGTTCGAGCACATCGTCATCTACCACAAGCGATGTATCCAGCACGAGCTCGAGTAGCTCATCTAGTACTTCGACTGAGCCCCCCGCCACTTCAAGCACCTCGTCCACGGTATCAAGCAGCTCCTCGACTTCCTCGGTAGAAGTCCCTGCCACAAGCAGCATGTCAAGCTCTTCCATGTCTTCATCATCCACCATGACATCAAGCTCCTCGCCAGGTACTACGTCATCCGAAAGCTCTTCCAGCAGCTCTTCATCAAGCACATCGGACATATCGAGCTCCTCCAGCAGCGTCTCGACGAGCTCAACTAGTAGTACTGAATTCTCATCTTCAAGCAGTGCAACACCTACCTCCAGCGACTCAAGTTCGTCTGCAAGTAGTAGTTCGTCATCTTCAACGAGTAGCACGGACTCGTCGTCGTCATTGTCATCAACCACTACTTTGACTCCGACCTCCAGTGCTTCGAGCACATCGGCTAGCAGTTCATCGCCTTCGTCGTCCTCAGCGAGCAGCACCGACTCGTCGTCTTCGCTGTCATCGTCCACTATTATAGACCCGACAACCTCTGGTGTTTCAAGCACGTCTGTCAGCAGTTTATCGTCGTTCTCATTGAGCACCACAGACTCGTCCTCCTCGCTGTCAACAATTACAATCATAACTTCAACCTCCAGTGATTCGAGCATGTCTACTAGCAGTCCGTCGTCCTCGACATCATCTTCTTCGCTGTCATTCAGCACTACATCGATTTCCTCAACAACCGATACATCGTCGACTACATCCACAACGAGCGCAACGCCCAGCCCACCCGTGTGTGGAGGCTTTGGCGTTGGTCTCTGTGACGGCGCCTGCCGCGACCTCGCGACTGACGTTCTCCACTGTGGCCGCTGCAACAACGCGTGCGTCGCGGGCAACCTCTGCAACAACGGAGTGTGCGCATCTCGTGCATGCGACTCCAACTGCGAATTTGACCGCCTGTGCAACAGAAACGGAACTTCGTCATGCCGGTGCGCAAGGACCATGGATGGCGCTGGTGTCTGTTACGACAAGGATGCGACAAACTGTTCTGACCCAGGAATCCTTCAATGCAGGACCTCAGCCAGCTGTCCGATCGGCACAGTTTGCATGCCTAACGTCTGTGACTGTGCGGATACTACCAAGGGCATCTGCGTTGGCACCACTGGGTGTGGGGACGAAGGATTGTCTGTCATGGGCGGGCTGATCCGAATCGGAGAGATGGAGAAGCGCAGAAGGACCGTCCGAGGGTTGGCGAACCAACTCTAAGGATGGGACGAAAGCATGGTGGTAGCATACGCAGGGAAAAGGGCGGCATCGTGGTTTGTTGTGATTTGGGAATAGTTGGGTGCCTGCCAATGTGCTAGTGGGCGTTGTACAATGGTCTTCACAACACAATATACATCCTTCGCTTCTATACCTACACCGGCAACGGCATCCCGTGTTGTGAATACCGGTTGGCGTCAGTGCGACATTAAGCTCGCGGTGCATAAAGGCAATTTTTTGTTGTCAAGTGACGCTGCCGTGAGCGGTCAGTGCCTCGGAGGTTATGTGCTAGCTTCTTTCGCGATGTCAACACACGATAGCGGGTGGTGCCAGTGTAGAGGGTCGCGTGTTTGGAGGCAACAATACGCGACGCGACTGGGGAAACGCAGGTGGTGTGGAGGTGTCGAGATGCAGGCCATCGTTGAACGGCCTTGTAAACCACGGCGAGATATGACGGGTGCAATGTTTAATGTCTAACGCATGAATGTGGCGTCCAGCGGGTCCTAGCGTGCTCCCCACGCGCTGGTGTCGTTGCCGTGGGGATCGCCCGCCATGTCCGCGAGGTAAACACAAAGTATGCCGGACATGTGCCTCATCGCCTCCCCAAATATGCCCGCCATCCTTCTGCTATAGACAACCCACGTTTCAAGCCTTCTCTTCCCGGCCCCGACCTCAGTCGACGCTTCCCCAATCCCCATCTTGTTGGAGCACCATCATGTCGACGCCGGACATGGCCACCGCCGCACCTTCGCATAGACGGAACAGGAGCGCTGCAGCTGGAGTGCTCAAGTCTATCATCGCGAACAAAGGCCACAAGCGCTCGCCGACCGAGGGCGCTGGGCTGCACAACAATCAGATAGCGAGCCCGCCGTACATGCCTGTCTCCAACTTCCAGGCGCCGCTCCTGCCGCCAGACCACCCCCATAGCCAATTGCGCGCGGCAAATCAGACGGAGAACGTTCCCACCAATCCGCCGTCACCGCGCAAGTCGCGAGACGTCAATTCGAGCCCCAAAAAGAGCCTGCACAAGAAGACACTCAGTTCCGTCTCGCTGCGGTCACTGGCCAAGAAGGAGAACAAGGAGGAGAAGGAGAAGCCGGCCTACAAGAAGTCATTCGACTCGCGGCCATCTCAGGAAGAGGCCGAGATGGGCGAGAAGCCGAAGAAGACAAAGTCGTCGACCAATCTGGCTGCCATGTTCGGCGGGCGCCGGAGAGACAAGTCACCTGTGAAGGAGAGCAGAGACAAGGAGAACACCACACCACCCCGCTCTTCCCACGACAAGGCCCCACCTCGTACTCCCATCTGGGCCGAGTTCAGCTCCCAACAGGAAGTCACCACCACGAGCAAAGTCCCGCTTAACGATCAGCGACGGAGCGTCGAGGAGGAGATTGCCCTCTACACTCCCCAAGACTACTCGCCCACCAAGCAGCGCAACTTCTTCGAGGTCGGCCAGCCAGCCCTCCGACCTGCCCCGAAAGAGCGGCCCAAGTCCATGTTTGCTCCCAAGTCGACTTCCACGGCATCCTTGCTTGAGACCTTCTCGCGCAAGCGGAGCAACGAGCGCGTTCCTCTATCAGACACCAAGGGCAACGAGGGACGCACAAGGGAGAGCTCTCCTGTAAAGCCGGCAAGACCCGTACTCAGTAGGGCTAGTACCGACACCGGCAGTAAGGACTACAGTCTCAATTCCATGGCGCCGCCGCCGCCGCCAGCCACAACCAAAAAGCAGAACCGAGTCATGGCTGCCGTTGCTGCCTTTAACGGAAAGTCAAAGCAAGCTGACGGTGCTCCGGCGTCTGCCAAGCTCGATCCAAAGGCGGTAGACGCCGAGTTCGAGGAGGTTCTAGTGAGTGCTATCCCAAAATACGAATGACTACCTGCTAATGATATCAGGAATCTCGAAACATTCCCACACACCAACGCGCTCAGATGCGGACACTGAAGCTTGAGGTCAAGGCCGACTTCGTTCGCATGCACAAACTCGACATACCCCAGACCTCGCGAACAAACTCCGCCCAGTCTTCCATTGGCGAGAACACCAAGCAGGCGCCACAGAAGTCGTCCAAGTCTCGACATGGATCTGCCGTCGAGGATGCAGAGGATGAGGCGGAAGCGGACAAGTCAGCCAACTCTACTAAGCGTGAGCGACCGCGGAGCCGAACATTCACCTTCAACAGGAGTGACTCTCCGACGAAGAAGCAGAAGGGCGAATCGGGCGAACGGAAGACGAACTCAAAACCAGCGCCTATTCCCAAGTCTCCGTCTATGAGGTCACTAAGGTCCAATGCTTCTGATCGTTCTGTGTCCAACGGAGCGAAATCGGTCAAGGCCGACGAGTTCATCTCCTACTTGAAGAAGACGCCTAAGCCACAGAACGTCGAAGTCGGCAAGCTGCACAAGCTTCGCCTGTTAATCCGTAACGAGACTGTCGACTGGGTTGACAACTTCATCCAGGATGGTGGTATGACTGAGCTGGTCGCGTTGCTTCACCGCATCATGGAGATTGAATGGCGCGAAGACCACGAAGACACGCTTCTGCACGAACTCCTTCGATGTCTCAAGGGACTCTGCACAACCGCCACGGCTCTCAAGCAACTCAATGAGATCTCGTCGACACTGTACCCAGCATTACTGGCCATGCTTTTCGACGAAGAGCACAAAGGTCCGAGCGAGTTTACTACGCGTGAACTCATCATCGAGATCATCTTCGCCCACATCTCCATGGCACCAGAGGGCGAGCTGGAGACCCGCGCTAAGGAGCTGATGAAGTACCTCAAAGATCCTGTCAAGGAGAAGCAGGCTTCAACTGTTCCGTTCATCCTTCAGATGCACACGCAGCGACCTTACCAGGTCTGGTGCAAGGAGCTGTCGAACGTCACCAAAGAAGTTTTCTGGATTTTCATCCACCACCTCAACGTCATTCCCGTCCCCCCCAAACCCACGGAAGGGAAGTCGTACGCGAAAACCCACTTCCCGGGTCAACGCGCAATTGTGCCTGCAGCACCCTACGTCGGCGGCGTAGAATGGGACGCAACCAACTACCTCGCCACACACATCGACCTCCTGAACGGCATCATGGCCTCCCTCCCCACACGCGCCGCACGCAACGAGTTCCGCTCCGAACTCAAGATCTCAGGCTTCGAGAAACTGCTCGGCCACCTCCGCGCCTGCAACCCCAAGTACTACGGCGCTGTCCACGACAGCGTCAAAGTCTGGATCGGCGCCGCTCTCGAAGACGACTGGGACGTCAAGACTGTGCGTATGGGTGCTGGCGATGGCAAGGGCGGTAGCGTGAGCCCAGCCAAGCAGAGCCCAAAGAAGAAGACGGAACCTCCACCACAGCTCATGGCACCGCCTAAGATGGATGTCGGGCTTGGTCTTGGACTGGGCTTTGAGCGGGAGATTGCCATTGGCAGTACGAACAAAGTAGACGATGACTGGATTTGAGGTGTTCGACTTCGCTATCTGTCCAACATCTACTATCACTTGGATACCAGCCTAATATCTCGTACCCAACAGCCACTCTCGAAATCTCCTCCTTGGATACCACCTGTCCAGCTCAACATCATCGTACGCAAAACCCATCATATCGACATGCTTTCCCCACCGGCGCAAACACGGATACAACGGCGTTAATCACCTCTCCACTGCATTCCATCTCACATCGTCACATCGTCAAATCAACATCAAATCACAGCATGCATCTTATCCTTTCCATCTCCCACCCCCATTGGATCTCTTTCACGACACACTCTCTCTTTGGCATTCCTGGGGTCCTGAACGAATATCTCTCCCTCTTTCCCATCACGACCTTAGCATATGACATGACTCTCACGACCGACACGACACGGCTGGCTTCCCTTTGCCTGGGGGGCAACGACGTTGTGTTTTACTACCTTCTGACCTTCTTTCCGACGACACAGATACATGAATGGAACGCGTGTATAGTGTATACATATACTTGTTGTTGCGCTCCTTTTTTTTATTGTTCATGCGCAATGTTTGAGATGCATGGGTATGGGCTGGGGCGTATAATGTTTGATATGGGAGTTTTGATCGGGAGAATTCAGGTCATCTATCTTCAACACTCGGGTGTTTTGTGACAATATGTGATGAAGACGACTATGATGGTAATAATCGATGTGGTACGGAAAGCCCTAACCAGGACTCTATTCAACGGTCTAAGTGGGTATCTGATGTCTGACAACTCCAACTCCGCTAGCCCAGGCCATAGCCATGACCATGCCAATGCCGCTAAGTGATAAACTCCACACAAATGCCTCAAACCTCACACTTTTCCTAAGGCATACCCCATACCACATCAAGCCTTCTTCTTCCCCTTCCTCCGCCCCTTCTTCTCACCCACCTCCACCGACGCCCCCTCAACCTCACCCTCCTGCAACCCCATAACCTCATTCCCCTGCATCTCCTTCAACTTCTCCTGGCCGCTGATGAAAAAGCTCAAATCACGATTCTGCTCCTCAAGATCCGCTTTCTGGGCCTCAAGCTCCCTGACCTTATTCTCAGCCTCCTCCGCCTTCTTCTCCAAATGCTTAATCCGCTCCATCAAACTCTCATTCACAATCTGCTCTTCTTTGTATTGCTTTGTGAGTTTACGCGCGAGTTCAGACGCGGACGTTGCTTTCTGGGCGTTGCGCGCGGATTCGCGGGTGAGGGAGGCGATGGTATTTGTTGCTTCGGACTGGGAGGTGGAGAGCTGGTCGAGCTTTTGCGAGAGCGAGGCGACGGATCGGGTTGCTTCGTCGGCGGTGGAGGCGGCTTTTGCTGCTTTGTCGACTGCGCGTTCGAGCTGTTCCTCAAAGTATGCGCGTTGAGATTCGAGTTGGGAAGTGAGTAGGTAGGCGTACTCCATGCCCATGTTGTCGAGCTTCTCGCGCGGGACGGTGTCGTTGGAGTAGCCGGTCATGCCGGGTGCGCTGAAGGATTGGTTCGAGGCGGGCATGTCGACGAGTTTTCCGTCTGCTTTGTTTTGGATTAGGCGGTGGACGTAGCCGTCACCTGCGTAGTCCCAGACGTGTTGGGTTACCACATCCATTGCGTAGGTATGGCTTGTTGCTTCGTAGTGAGCGAACGCGTGTGCTGAGTCGTAGCGGCCACATCCTATGTTACCGCAGATTAGGCAGATCCAGAGGTTTTGTGTGGATCCGCAGACACTGCACTCGTTGTCTGGACTCTCGCCGTCCGCGCCCCGATTTGAGGTAAAGGCATCGTTTTGTGTGTAGCGACAGACTGGGCAGCCTGAGCCTCTCCACTTCTCCAGACAGGCGCAGTGGAAGACGTGCTGACAGAGAATGGTGAGGAGGCCAGTCGTTTCGTCCATGCGTTCGAGGCAGACAGGACAGGTTGGTAGCTCGACCAGAGCAGGTGTAGGTGGAGCGTGTGGTTTCGCGGTAAGCGAAGTAGCGATTGATGGTCCGTCGGCTGGTGAAGGTAGGGTGCTAGCTGGCGGATGAGGAGCCGTGGGCTGTTTGGTCGGCGCGGGCGCGAAGGGATCGTTCGTGAGGTCAGGATACGAGGTGGGATCGCGGTTTGAGTCGCCGTTCTGGAAGTTGATCGACTTGACAAAGACGACATGACAGTACTCAGGCTGTTTCTGTCAGCTGCGACCTCTTGACTATAATAGTCCTTTGTCTTACCTCCATACTGTTGAAGGCCTTGCCATCCCATTCCTTTCTCCACGCCCTCGCTTTCTTGGCTTCCCGGAACTTCATCAGCACCATGTATTTGTTCGCTCTGCTTGTCCGGATGAGCCTAAAATGCGAGACGTCCTCCCTCGTCTGCTCGCCCATGAAGCCGAGAAAGTCGGAAGGTGTCATGTATGAGGGCACCGCCAGTATACACAATGTAGTGCAGTCTTCTTCGTTGAAGTCCTTGCTCGCTCCATCCACCTCATCGTACAAGCCTGGCGTGTCCTGTCCATCGCGATAGAGATGCACCACCCCCCAGCCAACGTCTGTGTCTTTCAGATCTGAGGGTATGAACTTGCCCTTGGTCGCGAGACCACCGGCATTTGGCGCGTGTGAGGGATGCTTGAGGCGGGCTCGATCGAGTTCAGTGCCGGTGCTCGGGTTCATGTCGATGCTCAGTATGGAGATGGTGTCGAAGCGCCAGTCCCTGTGTGCAAAGCTTTGTGTTCGCCTGTGTCCCGGCCTCTTCGGCGGTTTGACGACGGGTACCGGGCTATCGTGGTGGTCTGAGAAGGATGGTCGCGTGCGATGACTGAACCGACGGGCGGTAGATGTGCGTTCACGGGCAGCAACAGCTTGGCCGGCCTCACTGCTGGAAGCTATAGGTTTCGGGAAATGGTTGTATGCGCGTGATGCCGGGGGATAGGAGCCCCACGACGCTCGGCGATGGGCTGGAAGCTTCGAGTCGAAGATGTCGTTAGGTAGAAACGTCTTGTCCGGCGACGAGCGCGAGGGATACAGCTCGAAGGTAAGGTGGAAAAAGTACGCCGGCATCAGGTCTCGTTGGAAGGTACCTGCATTTCCATCGAGCTTGATTGTGAACAGAAGTTCGGAACGTAGGCAACGTGTTTGCGACCTGAGCTACGTGACTTGCAGCCGCGGCAGTGGGGCAAGCGCAAGCGCGTCATTCCCGCATCTCTCCGCACATGTTAGCGTACCAAGACGCGCACGGCTTCACGACAAAGGCACATTTTGAGGATTGGAGTGATAAAATTATATTTCATTCTTGCCCTGTACCTATGCAGTGCAAGTCCAGCTAATCCTCATAATGGTGCTCGGCCATCACGTGCCCTCAATGCTGTCCTTCGGATATAGTAAACGCCATAGCTATGCAATAGTAAAGAAAATGTAAAGAAACACGCTATCCCGACAAAGATGTCATTTCCCACACTGTGTGTACGGTAAGAGAGACGGCCAAGGCCGAGCCAAAGAAACGCATTTTATGATGCCACCTGAATAAATAAGATTCGATTGCCGTGTCGTCAAGTCATTCGCCAGAACGCGTAGTGGGTATCGCTTTTGAACATGGCCAAAACATTCGCGCCGGTCCCAAGTGGTGATGGGTGTAACTGTATTTCGTGTAACTCGCAGTGTTGAATGGTAGAATAGAACTAAGCCTGGTCCACGTCGATTAAGTCGCCCTCGGTGATATCCTCGATCTCGTGGCCCTTGGAGTTGACGACAATGCGTCTTCCTCGTTGGTCGGCAGGGACGCCGTCGCGTGAAGCACCAAAGTCGAGAACCTGCAATGGTCAGCTAGTAATTCGTGAAGGCTGTTCTTAGTTGCTTACCTCGATGTATGTCATGCTGTTGCGCTGAACAGCAGCAACACAACGACGCTCGTTGAACTTGACTTGCCATACGCCGCTCAGGTCTGTCAGCAAGTCCTTTACAAACTCGCCCGTCTTCACATTCCACATCTTGAGTGTGCGGTCAGAGCCAGATATGACTTTCTGGCCGTCGTGCTGGAAGCATGTGATGGCACCTGTGTGAGCACAAAGTCGGCTTTTGCACTGTCCATTCTCTGGGTCCCAAATTCGGAGGGTTGAATCAGCAGCCGCTGATACCAGGCGCTCGTGGCTCAGATCGAGAAGACCGACGAGCGAGGTATGACCCTCAAGCGTGAAGATGCAGGCCCCTGTCTCCAGAGACCAGACTTTGACCATGTTGTCCATGGAACCACTGATGCAGCGGTTGCGCGCATGGTCGAGAACAACACTGTACACCTTCTGCGAATGACCTTGAAGGCGTTGCAGAACCTCTCCGGTAGAGATTTTCCACACTCGGACAGTGCAGTCGTAACTACCACTGACGAGCGTGTCACCGTGTGCAGCAATCGCGCGCACTGAATGATGGTGTCCCGTAAGGGCGCGTATGAAGTACGGATTGTCGTGATCATTGGATGACGCTGCAGCCTGCATGATGCCCCGATCGCCTGGCTTGGGCAGCTTCCAGACGCGAAGGGTAGAGTCTCGCGAACCCGTAATAACGAGCTCCTCCTTCGGCATCATGATTGGCTGGCCGTCAAGGGTCTCGCCAATCTGAGTTGGCTTGAGTATTACTAGGCATCGGACGGTGGAGGTGTGACCCTGAAAAACATGCGTGCACTTTCCCTTTTCAATATCCCACACGCGCACTGAGCGATCGGTGGAGCCGGATACGAGTGTGTTGCCCTCGTACTGGAGGGCCCACACGCCGCCTTCATGCCCTTCAAGGCGGCTTCGTAGCGCTCCTGTCTTTGTGTCGTAGACATTGATGTTCGTATCATCACTGCCTGTCAAGATCTTGTCTGTATCAAACTGAAGACATGTCACCACGTGGCGCTGATGGGCGCGGAATGCAATGTGTTTCGGCTTCGTGTCAGTCGCCATCCAGCTCTTGCGGATAAGATGATGACGTTGATATAGAGACTTGAACAGATGCATAGCACGAAGACCAGGTAAACCAACATTGGGATCG